GGCAGCCTCAAGAGTGCCGCCACGCCCAAACGGTAATGTCGTTTGGGCCTGCCCGTCGGGTCTGGTCCAAGGTGAGGCCTTTATGGCCTGTAGTACGCCAAGGTTGGGCCTTTAGGCCCTGATGTGTCCCTCTAGCCCTAAGTTGGGTCCGGTAGGACCCGTGTGGCGTCGAAGATGTAACACCCAGTCTCTTCAACAAAAAAAAAAAAAAAAAAAAAAAGAGCCCTTGCCAATCGCTACGGACTGCAACCTACCGACGACAACCGTCTTCCCCCGAATACAACTCACCCTCATAATCATTGCATCGGACTGCACAAGGGATATATCAGCAGATCGAACTTCAATGTGATGGTCTTCTACCGCCTATCGTTTCCCCCGAGCACAACGCACCGTCATCATGACTGTATACGGCCGGCAAGATAGGGGGTGCGTTGTGTTCGAGGGACAGTTAATGGAAGATGATCGCCGTCTCACTCGATCGTTCGCTGCTCCTCCTCGTCCTCCTCGTCCTCCTCGTCCTCCTCCTCCTCCTCCTCTCCTTCTTCCTCCTCGTCTTTGTTGGCGTCTTCTTGTGCTCCCTCCATTAAACAATCACGCCTTGGCGAACAGCCTCCTTACCCTCCTTCCCCTCCTTACCCTCCTCCTCCTCCTCCTCCTCCTCCTCCTCCTCCTCCTCTCGTCCTCGTCCTCGTCCTCCTCCTTCCCCCTCCTCTTCTTCGTCGTCGTCCTCTTACGGTAAACAATTGCGCCATGACTGACTGGACATGATGAGGGTGCTCGTCCTCGCACTCCTCCTCCTCCTCCTCTTCCTCTACTTCTTTTCCTCTCCTCCCCATTCTCCTCCTTTTCCTTTCCCGTCTTCTTTCTCCCTTCTTCTTCGTCTCCCTCCCTCCTCCTCCTTCTCCTCCCTTGCTGGCCTTTTTAGAGTCGAGGTTTGGGGGCCTCTGACTAATTAGGTCCAAGCAACAGAGAACGGCCGACGAGCTGACAGTCTTGTAGCCTTGCGCTCGTAAGTGCTGCAACCTCCTTCGCAAAGCTTGATGCCTTCGGCTATGGTGTTTGTCTGTTGGCCTAACCTAGCCCCTTGTAGCTTCGACGAGAAATATGCTCTTGGTTCGATCCCCTACACCTTATCAAGCTGACATTACAAACCGTCTACTCGGTCTCCTAAACATTATCGTCGTTATCAAGTGCATATAGAGACAAACAAGATAAGGATAAGAATAAACTTCCTCATCCCCTTCCACCCAACACAACACATTTCACCTCATCCTGAATGCATCCGAGCTTCCTTTCTGGCCCAATACAGTCGCAGCGAAAGATTGCGCTATCTTCTGCGGAAGACGATAGTAGCTTACTCAGAGATAAAATCATATTAAAAAAGAAGAAAGAAGAAGAAGAAGAAGAAGAAGAAGAAGAAACGAAGTCATATTATGCCAGCTGGACACAGAGGGTTCGACATACCCAGGGTTTCGTCGGGGTAGCACCGACTCGTCAGGAGGTTCAGCCTCGACGGTCTGACGGAGGAGAAGCACCACCATTCTTCACAGAGAAAACTGAAAAAACAAACCAAGAAAGGGGAAACTACGCGGGAGTCACAAAAACGAGTTATAATTGCAGTATGAGCCAAGATACAGTTTGCAATTGCAGTTCGGGGAATGTATACAACCCAGCTTTCTGACCACGTAGGGTGCCGGAGCTGCAATTGCTGACTGTATCTTGCCCCATATACTGCAATTAATTTACAACTCGTTTTTGTGACTCCACTGAAGTTGCCCCTCCTATTAAGCACCACCATTGGGGGGGGGGGCATGTCTTTGCCTTGACTAGCGTCCTTCCCCCGACCATAACGCACCCTCATCTTGAATCTGTACGCGCTATCTTTCCAGTCCAAGACAGGCATGATGAGGGGTGTGCTGTGTTCGGAGGAAGCGACGGAGGAAGCGACGATAAGGGTGCGTTGTGTTCGGGGGGAGGACATGATGACGGTGCGTTGTGTTCGGGGGAAGACGGGGAATACGCAATGCATGGTGACGGTGCGTTGTGTTCGGTGGGGGGGGGAAGACATCATGCGGCTGCGTTGGGATCGCGTCCTTCGGGGGAAGACGGGTAGACGCCATTCAGGCCAGTGTCGTGGGAATTTTCAATGCAAAAAGATTCCGTACAAAACACGCACAAAAACAGAAAAGAAATAGAAAGTGCACGTCCACTCGTATGGTGCTATTGTCAAACCGAGATTGACGTGCATGCGCTTCCCCGGCTATGGCTATGGCGGCATCCTTCGTCTGCCGTCCAAGCAGGGGATATGGGTTCGATTCTCGTTATCAGCAATTGCTGCCTGCTCTCTCTCAGTGAGGAGGGCGTGGTCACGTCACACATTTGCTAATACAACCGTCCTGCCCCTAATAGAAAGTATAGTCATTATACCTGAATTGGGGGCAACTTTCAGACTAGATACAGCGATAACTATGGAGCCTTCAATTGGGGGGAACACGGTACTGCATCTCCAAACTGCATGCATCTAGCCAGAAGAACGAGAAGAGGGCATAAACACGAATGTAGCACGAGAATAGCACGAGCATAGCACGAGCATAGCAACCCCGTCCCAATTCCCCTGATGCCTGTCTGCTTTTCCTTGCTGCGGGGGATGCATGTTTCTGAGATGCCCTTCCGCACCAAGGCCGCAGGTATTCGGATTTGCGTGGGCTGAAGCGGGGGGGAGAGTTGTTGGGGGGGGGGGGGGGGGGGGGGGGGGGGGGGGGGGGGGGGGGGGGGGGGGGGGGG